TATTCAGTCCAACACACAAAATTGGAACATTTCAATATCTATTACAACCCCGACTCATAACAAGACTATTGATGTATCTTGTGAAATATCTACATGCATTTCCAAAACATACTTCAGCAGTCATGGTTCCAACATGACAAATCACTTACTGTTTATTATCTCATGACTGCCCTTTTTAAGCCGTTCTAATTTTCCAAATGTCTCTACAGATTGTGAATGGATGTAATATAAGTTTTCCAGACATTCACATTCAACTTTTTATGAATTAGAAAAAAAAAGATCATTTATTTTTAGATAAGCTCATATACCAAAGAGCTGCTCTAATTCTAAATTGTGACAAAATCTCTTATAAATAATCATAATATTATATAGTAGCTAGAATAAAAATGTATACTAATTTACTAATTATAATCGAGAGGAAAATATAGATAATATTGAGTGGAAAGTGGAATTTAGGCTACTTGAAGAAGAAACTGAAAGCATTTTGACATCAAGTGAAAGCTAATCTCACCTCCTTGGTTTATTTTCATTTAAACAAGAAACATTCCCCTCATAGGATGTTAGTGTTTCCAACTGGCTCACCCCTTCCTGTGTGGACTTTACGCTTGGCACCTGGCCTTAAATTGTTAATTTGAAAAAGAAAAAAGAAAAAAAATAAAGGAGCATATATATGAATCCTTCTATTTTAAGGGGGAATGATGTTTGTGTCCATGTATTTCTGTTTCCACTTCTTATAGGTGGTTTAAAATGATAAAGCCTGTAGTCAAAAAAGGGGCAAACAGTGAAATGCAGAATGGTGTATTTGAATCAAAGAATGGTTGTAGGCTACAGGAGGATGAAAGCATTAACATGTGGTTTTCTAAAAACAGAACTCGTAAATAAAAGCAGACATATGAAGCCAGATGCTGATTTAAACTCTATTTTTTGTCATCAGACCAGGTGATCTCATAGTCGCTGAAGGTGCTCTTCAACTTCTCCACGGACACGGAGTGGTCTGCTTTACCAAACGCCTGAAAATGAATAAATGAATCATTTACTTGGACACATTTAAACACTGCAGTGTATTTAAATAAAGCTGACATTGTTTCTTAAAATCACATTAACTTACAGTGGATTCCCCAAACACCCTTAGTTTTTTATCTTGGTTGTTGTGCTCTATCTTCCCTCCTCCAAGACATTTACACTCCATCCCCAAGGCCTCCATAGCTGGGTTGACCTTCTCAAATATGTGATCTGGAAAGAAGGCAACTCATCCTGTTAATCTTAAAACATACAATCAAGTTTACAGACAAATAAGCATGCAGTTTTGGAGGAATGAGCAAACTTAGCAATTTGTGTCTGGTCTCTTCTAAAGCTGTTCTCTTCAATATCTGCGAGGCTATATAAATTTGCGTATGGGTTTGGTTGGCAAACATTTCCTGTGCTTGTCTGTGCACTATTCATGCACGTGTGCACGCTGAACGTAAAGACCGGTTTTCTGACGTCTTTAATTAGCCCATTAATATTCTGCAAGAAATCACGAGTAGAGTAGAGTATAGCCTGTTAAACTTACTGTGATACTCTGCACTTTTTGTGCCTCGGACTATGTCTTTATGCACATCGCCATCTTTTACTTTCACTCTGACCAGAATGTACTTAAAGGTTCCTTCTGGATCGATCTCCACATCGGGGATTTTAGCCAGGGCGTCTGCCATTGCGACTAAAGCTTTACTGAAGGGGCCAGCAGACCCTCTCAAACCGATCAGAGGTCTACCGAGGATAGACAACATGGAGGGAGCTCACATGTGCCTTTATTTGGATCAGCACGTCTATGTCCCACTTAAAGGGACAGTGCAAATGAAGCACGCGGCCTTCACTGTTAAAGACAAATGGGAGCTCGCAAACTGTCGACCCCTAGTGGTATCAAAGGGTAACCATTTGAATCGTAAAGCCTATACTTTAAAAAAGTACCAAAGTAGCTTGACAACGTTTACCATGCCAGCACAGAGTCCTGGAAAGAAATCAACAATACTTCCGATGTTGGCAAGCCCCTTTTTTACCCAGGAGACTGCTGCTCGTGTCAATCAGGAAGACCTGGTTGATGGTTCACCTGGTTGTGAGATGCTGCTTTTGTTTCAGGAGGCCTTAAGATTACAGCAGGGCAGGGTCAATGGTGATGGTTAATCTATTTGATCTGAAATCATCAAGTGTTTGGGTTTAAGTCAAAAGAAAGGTATGTGAGACAGTGTGAGACCTCTCTCTGGGAGGGAGATTCCTGCTTCCATCATGCCAAATGGACTGAAGGCACGCTTATATTTTCTCGAATCTATTAATGTTGACAATATCTTCCTACTGTACTTAAAATATTGTCTGCAGTTAGAAACAAGGTCACTTTCCCCCCATATGGATATAATAATATTACAAAAATAACCATGTTAGTGTTTATTAGGCTACTTATTGTTAAATCTATGCTACCTGTTTTCATAATGTTGCCGTCTGTTTTATTGATGATATTGTTAAATCCATAATGTGCCACTTGGCTAAGTGTTCTACACTCATATCACAATTTTGATACATAATTAATGTAACGTTTTTATTTTTACTTTTAAGTCTTGTATTTTTTTCCCATTACTTTTATTTTATTGTGTAGATCAAAACATTTTTTTTACAGGGACTTGAGTACCTAATTTCTCTCCTATTCATGATGCTCTGGAATGACCTTAAACCTCATATTCATTGAGTCCTTAAAATGACATGAAAACTAAGTTTTTCAATGCATGATGAACTTCAAAAGACTGCAGGATGAATGAAAATAAAATCATGTTAAAAGAGCACAAATCAAACACTTTGAAAAAAAATGATTTTTCTCCCTTGGGTCTTGTTCTATTCGAGTTAATGAGGAAGTTCATATAATTTTTCTTTCGGAAGGGGTGGAGGTTAAGAGGTGTAAAGCAACAGTGGCTATACTATCCGGTGCCTCGGGTCAAAGAGGAAGGATATGAACTCTCTCGCAGCCAGCAGGCGCCTCTGCCTCTGCACAACGCTTCCCGTCCCTGAACAGTCATAAGATATACCAGTAAAGTGTCTGTTGTTTGCAGCTGCATTGTTTTGTTAACCACCTTCTTCTTTGGATGAGCACATCCTTTGAAAGGACAAGTCAGTTCATTAATCTGAACTATGAAAAGCATGTTGTATCTCAGACTGTCTGTAAGCACACTGTGTTCGACTGTTAAAATGCATCAATCCAATTAATCATCATGTCCAGATAAAGCTTAAAATCACAGTGGTCCAAATGGATTTACTGACTCGACAGTCTCATTATTGCTGCCAACAATAAAACTCTTTGTTTTCATTAGCACAAAAATATCTCAAAAGTTCAAACCCAAATGGATGAAAGGAGAGAGAAAGTCTAAATCTCTCTCAAACTCTCGGCCTAATCAGCTCTCAGGATTTCAAAAACCTGCAAGACAGTCATTTCCTCTTAGTCATCTCTCACTTTGATAAGAGTGTTATTACCAATTCCTCAGAAAACCTTTCACTTTCTCATTAGGAGGTATTAGTTAGTCTTGCCAAGTAGCCAAATTTGTGCATTGTCTGTACATGAGCACATTGTTAGACAAGCAATGATATGATTTACTTTTGTAAATGTACCAATAGAACTAAGACAAATATCCAATACATGTTAATGATTGATATTTAATTTTAAGATAAAGTGCAGAAGGATTAACAGGGTAATGTATTTAACCCTCCTACAACCCTATGTGTCGCACTTTTCGCCCCAACGACACAGAAAAATGCTTAGATAAAGACGGCAATTGAAATATTATCTATTAATGCATGATTCCAATTTTTTTTTTTTAAATGTGGATACTATTTACAACTTCAGCTCTTACCATACATAGCAAATATTCATTGTGTTTCTGAAATGTAACCCATCAAAAATGCCAGTTTTATAATTAGAACTTGATTTCAAAATAAGACAAAAAACACAAAAAGTGAATAATTTTCCATCCCATACGTCCAAAAATAGATTTTTTTGTGGTGGGATTATCATAGCCTGGGAGTGTCAAAAATTGGAATCAACATTGATTTTGTTTCATTTTTATTTTTGGTGTCTTGTCAGATTATATATTAAATGCTACATCTTCCTCAACGACACAGAAAAATGCTTGAATAAAGATTGCCATAGAAATATTATCTAATAAGCAAAACAAGAATGGCCCATTTCCTTGGGTAACATTATTTTCTATCTGACAAAATTTAATGACATATAGGTAACATTTTACAATAATGTCAACAGCATTTAATTTTCAAGTTGGTCGAGCTGGAGCTACTTTCTCCTATTAACAAGTGAAATTTAGTAAATCATTTTATCATAGTTTTCAGTTTTTCAGGAGGTGTTTGCACACCAAACTATCTCATGAAGTAGATGTGTAGGACAACAAATTCTCACTTGAAAAGAAAATAATCCTGCACACCACTCTTGCTAAGCATCCCCAATTTATTAGAGAGAAGTAACATTTCGGTCCACACTGAACACACTTGACAGAGGTTCAGAGGGACCGAAATGTTGTGATTTTTTGGTGCTGCTTAGCAAGAGTAGTGTACAGGATCATATAGTTTAAAAAAAGACAACTTACATTTAAAAAGTAAGCATCAAAAGTAGTCAAATGGAGTAAGTGTAAAAAATGAAAATTAAATGATTATTTTAAAAGCTATGTAGCATACAATACTGAAAAGAGAATAAATCCCTTAAAACTTTACAAACAAAACTTTCATAGACATGTATACTTTCCATTGTCAATAATATGTTGACTGTCAATAAAAGTAAAAGTAATATTTAACAAAGACAAGAAAAAAGAGAGAGGGAAAGTTCCCAAGGACCACCTTGTAATTAAGGGAGGGGGGGATTTCCAGTGAAACGTCCGGCTGTGATGAGAGCTTCCAGGAAAACAGGAGCAGCACAATGTGTATAAAAGCAGGAACATCGGCACATAAGCCTCAGAATTCATTCATCCTGTTTTGTGCTCAGACTGAAGAGTCTTTTGCAGGCTATCACACATACAGTATCACTGAACATGGTGAGTTAGATGTACCAATTTAAGTGCAAATGTCTTTAATTTTTGCTTGGATCAGAGATACATTTATGGTATAATATTTGTCATTTTTTCCTCACTATTTCTACAGGAGTTCTGTTTTGGATTACTTCACACTCGAGGATCTAAGACCTCTTCCTCATGGATCAGCTTGACCTTTCTATGCTCAAGTATGTAAATCTTCTGCAAACATAACGTTTCCATTTTTTTTTTTTAAATCCACCTGTATTCCTTACATCTCTGTCTTTTTCCTCCATCCTCAGTGCTGTGCATATGGTCTAGTGTAGACTGCTGGTCCTACGTCTACTCAAATAGCACCATGAACTGGCAGAAAGCTCGGACCTGGTGCCAGACAAACTACACAGACATGGTGGCCATCCAGAACCAGGAGGAGATTGAATATCTCAAATTGTGGCTTCCCAAAAAACCCACCTACTATTGGATCGGCATCCGCAAGGTCAATGATGTGTGGACCTGGGTAGGGACCAACAAGGCTCTGACAGAAGAAGCGACCAACTGGGCAAAGGGGGAACCCAACAATGGAAAGAATGGGAAGGGTTCTTGGTCAAATGAGGACTGTGTGGAGATGTACATCAAAAGGGATCAGCAGCCAGGAAAGTGGAATGATGAGAGATGCTCAAAGTCAAAGACTGCTCTTTGCTACACAGGTGAGCAAATCTTATATAAATCTTATATTAACAGGTATATTTAGATGCTTATTTTTCATATTTATGTTCATTTTTAGTAAATAGATAATGAGTGATGGTTTATTTCCCAGCTGCCTGTAAGAACGACTCGTGTCTTCATGGAGACTGTGTGGAAACCATCAACAGCCACAAATGTGTTTGCCATGAAGGCTTTTACGGAGAGAAGTGCGAGCATGGTAAAAAAAAAAAATACAGTCATGTTAATCTTCCTTTTACTTCCATGTTACTTTAAGTCCCTTAAATCCAGGACTTGATATCTTATTGTGTCTTGTTTTCTCTGTTTTCAGTTGTTCTGTGTAACAAAGACGAGGTGTTCAACCCACATAAAGGAAAAGTACATTGCACTCACAAATATGAGACTTCTCGTTCAATTCCTCGTGCCAGTATTCCTGCGAGGAAGGATATCTGCTGAGTGCACAAAGACCCCAGACATGCACGGCCTTAGGAAGTGGTCAGAGCAGCCTCCTACGTGTGAATGTGAGTTTCAAAAGATATTACATATGTAACCTCATATTAATCCCATTGAAAGCAAATACATTTTATTATCGCAATGATGCAGCCTGCTGTAATGGGTTTTCTGCTCCCGTTCTCCACAGTGGTTCAGTGTCAGAAGCTGTCGCCTCCATCAAGAGGATCAATGCAGTGCTCTTCTCTGGGCTCCTCCAGCTACAACTCCACATGTGTGTTCTCTTGTGTTGAAGGTTATGTTATTGCTGGATCTTCCTCCAACACTCTGCAATGTGAAGGGTCAGGAAATTGGAATGACTCTCAGCCTTATTGTGTTGGTACGTCCATTTCTTTTAGATTTTTGGCTAGTGTCATATCACTAAGGAAAATCTTTATAATGTTCTTTTTTGGCTGCATTTCTAAAAAGAAAGCATCTTCTGATCCTCTGAATTGCAGCTGTTCAGTGTCCTGATCTCAAGGAGCTAGAGAATGGGGTTGTCAACTGTGGAGACAATGCAGATCTGCCGTTCAGCCAAGGAAGCACCTGCAGCTTCAGATGTTCCTCGGGCTACCGCCTGGTGGGGTCAAGCAGGGCAACGTGCACGTCTGCAGCAGAGTGGAGTGAGAAGATGCCTCACTGTGAAGGTGAGGGGCGCTTTAAGTCCAATCCAACCCCTTTCTTTACTATTAGGCACATTTGTTTTTCATTTAGTTCTGTCAATACCAGCACACTAAATCAATTGTGTTCTTGTGTTAGCTTAAACACAACTTTCTTAATATGTCTAGGCAGTAGTTAATTTTGTGTAAATAAACAAGCTCAGTTTTTTTTAAATACCGTATAATGATGGTCAATATCTAAATTTTGCTATCTTTTCCCACAGCTGTGAGATGTCCTGTTCTCGAAGAGCTTGAAAACGGTGAAATCAACTGTTCAAACTGGCAAGAGTACAACTCACAGTGCTCCTTCATCTGCGGCCAAGGTTACTCATTAGAAGGACATGACCTGCTGATCTGTGATCGCAATGGCAACTGGACAGCAGAGAAACCCACATGCCAAGGTAAAGCGCAGAAGAGTAAAGAAAATCCAAGAAGACATTTAAAAAGAACATTACATTTTTAATCCTGAGTGTACATATTTACATGATTTTATTATTTTAATAGCTCCAACTGCTCAGATTACGGCCATTGCCTCTGGTGTGGCAGCAGGGGGTACTCTCTTATCCGGTCTGTCTCTGGCCATGTGGATCCTGAGAAAACTGAAGCAGAAAGCAAACAAGTTTGAGTTGAATAGGTTAGTAAAGCATTTGATTTATCTTAAATAATTTGTTTTCCTTTTCACAAATGATTTGTTTATTTTGCAGTGCTCATTTTGTTTTTCTTTCTTGCAGCAACTCTGAGATAGAGCCTCCCCCACAGACCTACAAAAACAGCATTGACAGCCTCATCTAGGTCAATTACTCCTCAGCTTTTATATATCTTTATCATCACTGTATGTAAAGTACCAGTCATAATAGCTCGAGCAATGGGGCTAATTTGTAACAGTATGAAAACCTGTGGTCAGTAAGAGAAAAGGTATTTTTTAAACCGTTGCATTTCATTTTTCTGTTATGTTTTATTGAATTTCATGATGTACTCTGTTATGTTGTTCTGACACATATTTCCTCCCAAGGGGAGTTTTACATGGAACACATTGTTCTTCAGCTTTATGAGCATTCTGGAAAGGTGGCTTTATCCATGTTAATGTAAATGTTTCATAACAACATGGTTGATAACCTCCTCAATGACTGTGAATCATTTCACTCTATTGATGTCATTATTTATGTTCTATTTATCAGGTTGCATTCATACTGTATATTTAGTCATATTTCTGTGTGAATTACGATGTGCTGCCTCATAATAAAACATCAAACTATCATTTACTCTGGGTCATTTTTATATTTATTTATTTATGTATTTAAACTTTATTTAACCAGGTTATTCCCATTGAGAATGACACACCTTTTATCTGAGACCTGGCCAAGACAGGCAGCAGTAAAAACACAAAGTTAAGGAGACACACACAGACAAAGTACAATTCACAAACAATAAAATATGCATTAACTTAAGTTGAGTCCAACAAATAACTTTCTTGGAATCAGGCAAGCTAAAAACATGGACATCCAGAAACTGCTTACAACCCGCTCTTAATATCATGACTAATCACATCAAGCTGTCTTTATCTGTGTTGCCCAAAATTACAAACCACAATTTACATAAAAAGGCTTCATATATACATCCTAAAACCAAGGGCAGAGACGATATTTTTTTACAGGGGTGGCCCAACTTGGACTAAGTTTTGCATGGGAGGCATGAATTTTGTAATCATATCTACTTTAACTACAAATATTTAAGTATAAAATGTGTTGGTTTTTTTTACTTTCAAAATTAACAAAATTGACTGGCATCTTCTTAATTGTATAAGCTTATATGTATTATATTGTATGTGTAAGCAGTCAAAAAGAAGAGAAATGTCGAAAGTAAAAATTTAAAGTGAACAAAAAAAGGAAATTAACTACATTAAAATACATAAAAAGCTAAGAGCTCTTGTTAAACAGTTGTAAGACATATAGTTGATTTAAACTAAAGTCCTGTCTGTGCTGTGGCTGAGTAGTAGTGTCGGTCGTCTCTCATCGTGAAGGTCTGGGGTTTGATCCCCAGCTACTGCAGTCACATGTTGAAGTGTCCTTGGGCAAAACACTGAACCCCAGTTTTAACTCATTCTTACACATTTACACACTGCTTTGTCATCAGTGGTGATTCTAGAGTCTATTGGGGCCCTAGGCAAAATCAATTGGGGGCCCTCCAACCAGCGTTCATCCCCATTATCTCTGCCAGCGTCCCCACGCTTACTCCTCTTCCACTTTTTCCTTTTTTTTTACGGATCATTCCTCTTCATTATTCTTAGTTGACTTTCATTGAAAAACTTGGTTTCACAGCAGTAATGCATGCAACGGTTAGCAGGGCAACAAGAGTGAGTGCTATCATATGGGGCCCCCTCAGGGAGGTTTCTTACTGTCATTGCAAAAGTTGAATATTTTGGGCCACTGCTTTGGAATAGGTTTGTTAGCCCTCTGGGGCCCCAAGCAGCGATTCTGTTGGTCATACACATTCACACACTGCTTTAGTAGATATACACAATGTGTATGAATGGATTAGCTAAAACTGATGGACACTTTACATCGCAAACTCTGATATCAAAGTGTGAAAGTGTACTCGTATTACAGATAGACTACATGTAGAATGGAAAACATGTACTGTAAGGCATGTATCCAGTCTGCACTAATAAGCCATTGAAAAAGGTTAGACATCTACTACTAAAGCCACATAAGCCTATTACCCCCCTGATTTTAGAGACTAAAGTGCTGACTTTACAGTTTATCAGTTGTTTTCTCAGCAGTTTCAGAAGCAATACAACATTGACCTCTTGTCTGTTTTTGTGTCCTTCATTACAATGGTACTGGCAGAGATTAGTAATTATATAACAGTGAGAGGCATGCAAGAAAGGAAGTGTCATACTATACTGCTGAGATGATTGGTTTCAGAGAACATTACCTTGGCTTATTTCACAAAACCGAGTCTTCTTTTCTGCATCAGTTTTTCAGCAGATTCAGAAATAGATGTGACAAATTTGCCTGAACTTTTCCAGAAAAAGTGGTATTTCCCAGAAGGTCTATACAAGTATAACAAGTCATGAAGTCAGCTATTAATTCATCATTCATCACTTGCATACACCCTGTACTGTAAACATCCAGGTATTATGACAATGTAGAAATGAATAGCCTGAGAGAACTATAAAAGCGTAACACTGGTGTGTGCCTGAAGCAAACTAACAGGACTCATACAGATTTTTCAGCAGCGCCTTTCCGAAACCAATACTGGGCAGGTATGCAAATCCTTTGTCACCTTTTTTCATGATGATATTTGCCATTTTTGTGTTACGATTATTATTTTCTTTGAAAAGACAACAGGTGTTAAAATGAAGTTGACATTAACATTTCTCCTTGGTAAGTTTCAGTTTTGACATTAAATCAAAATGTGAACTTGATGGCGTCCCTTAAATTATCACAGTAGTTGTCCTAAACTTTATGTCTGTCATATTTTGTATCAGGTAGCTTCTTAACCGAGGCTACCTTTGGCTGGACATATCATTACTCAAAAACGACCATGAACTGGACAGTTGCAAGAGAGTGGTGCCAGGAGCGGCACACAGATATGGTGGTCATCCAAAACCAGGATGAGAACAACTACCTGGTCAAAAAGCTGCCAATCAAAAAAAAGTACTATTGGATAGGAATCACTAAACAACACAAGAATGAAACCTGGACCTGGATTGGGAATAACAGCACATGGATAGGTAATGAGTCATGGGCACCAAAAGAACCCAATAACAATCACAGCACAGAGTTTTGTGTGGAGATCTACGTGAACAACGACGCAAACAGAGGAAAGTGGAACGATGAGAAATGTGCTAATAAAAAATATGCTGCTTGTTACAAAGGTATGTAAAAAATAAGATTGGTTAAAAGGTTGTTGCAGCTTGTTAAGTGGAAGAGGGGGTTAAAGTATAGAGATTTTTTCCCTACCAGCTCAATGTAATGAAACATCATGCGACAGAGGAAGATGCCAGGAGACCATTGAAAACATAACCTGCCTCTGTGAACCTGGATATGAGGGGGACAGGTGCCAAACAGGTAAGGAAAAGGCTTTCTGTTTGATAACATGCTGCTGTAACACCACAATTTCCCAGTTTGGGATCAATAAAGTAATTCTATTATATTCTATTCTATTTCTGAAAACAAGTCACATTTTTTTCTTTGGTTACTGTCTTTTAACGTATTTTGCAAAATGCTGAGTTTGAAGTAATGATTTTGTAAAACAGTTGCAGTTAAAAGGACTATGACAGGTTTTGGTGTTCAAAATAAAGCCATTATGGAAGTGAAATAAAACTGCAGTTTCTTGAGTGTCCAATTTGAGGCTGGTTGCAGAAGCCTTGAAAGTCACATACACACCCATTCAAATATGGCCTTTAGTTTTTTGTTTTTTTTAATAAATTTACATGTATGCAGCCTGGTTCTACAAAACAATTTTAGTCTGAATAGCTCATGTTTTTTTTTAGCACACACTGTATGGGAGGTGAATTTTTATATAATGAATCCATTGTGATTTTATAGAGTTGTTAATATGAAGGAGTCTGGCTGACCTGACTCATAGGCAGGTGTGGTGTTGCTGTCTGTCAAGAGGCTTAAGACCCTCCTCATCTCTAGCTCTTTATCTGGTGTTATGTTGACAGAAAGTTAGGTGCAGACATACAGCATTTCCAATATGGTGACCACCATCGATGAGCTTTTAAAGTCCACATCAGTTTTCAATGGGTGAGGTCACTGGGACTTTGTCCATGTTTATATATAGCAAACCTTAGCTGTTCTTTGATGTAGTTATTGGGTCATACCAATGTTGCTAGGCATATTCATTTTTTATTGTCTTTTAGTGTCTTACCAAGCTACAGATGGTATGATGATAATTTGTCATTTTAGCTTCAAATCCTGAGCATGCGATCAGAGGGGAATGGCTGCAGTGGTGATTTATAGCATCTTCCAGCTATTTTTGATCTGTACATTGTACACTAGCCAAAATGAGCAAAAAAGCAAAGTTTGCTTAAATTCTGAAATAAATGAATAACCTGGAATATAAAGATAAAGAGCCATAGTTGGCTAAGTACTTGGGCATACTTTAGATGAAACGTGAATTGATATTTGGTTCTTAACGGATATGTTTCCTAACATGTCATAATAGTTGAAAGTTTAAGATCAGCATGAGGTAATGGACATTGCTGTTTTTTTCTGTAAGACAAACAGCATCATCACAAAAGTGGAATTTCAGTCTGAGTGAGTCTTTTTATTTTCCTGTGTAGGTTTTTTATCTATCTCCTTCCAAAGAATAACATTTTAATAGTTAACTGACTCACACTGGGATTCTTTAGAATATGACAATTATTCCTAATCTTAATCTTAACATTGTCATTGCAAGTATTGCATCTGCTTCCTCCGTTTCCTGAGGTCAGGCTGAGGATCACACTTAAAACATTCATCAAAAAACCTGCATCAGCATGTACTGTATGTGCTTTGAAAAATGTTTTTATTTTCACAACAGATGTTATATAACTGCATCTTTGATAAACTTTGACCTGTATGTCCCCCTAGCTGTGGAATGCCCTCTCTCTCAGCCTGATAATGGATACCTGAGCTGCTCCAAAGGAAACAGGAAATTCAACTCAACCTGTCGCTATGAATGCTACTCAGGCTTCCTGATGATAGGCTCGCCAGCTGTAACATGTGGGCTCACAGGGGTTTGGAGCGGCCCAAGACCTACTTGTGCAAGTAATTATTTGACAATTTGATTTTGAAGAGTCAAGTATGTTTACAGAGATACAAATCCTAATGATGAATTCTTTCAGGCTACAAAAAGGCTCTGTTGGCTGTGACTGGGTGTGGAGCCCTCTCAGCCCTCTGCTGCATCTGTATGTGCTGGATGAAGCACAGAAAGAGTCAGTATTTCTCAATTTCATATAAGTGATGCAAGCAAATGTTATTACATCAAACCTCTATCGTGATTTTGTCTGTTCATTTCTCACAGGAAGGAGACTTGCCCAAGCAAGGTCAGTGTTGAAATGTACTTGACCAAGGCAGCTCCACCCAATTATACACATTTAGTATTTGAAAAGTTAATTTACTTGAATGTTACAATTCATGGCTGTCTAAAACTACTTTTTTACTGTGACTGTCGGTGTCCCTTCAATGTTGATCTGATTGTCATTCACAGGCAGCCTGAGGAATTTTCAAGTCTTACTAGTGAGGCACTGGGATGAAGGATGACTGCAATGTATTCAATGTTTCATTAAAATATATGTACCATGACCTATTTGCATGAACACTATTATAATTTTTGTACTTTGTTTATGAATAAACCCACCCCTATGTACTCTGAATTCCTCTATGCAAGGAAGGTAGGTTAGCTAAGCATATCTGCCCAATTTAGGCAACTTTACATTTAAGCTATGTCTATAGACCTGCATGGCTAAAGAGCTTGCAGTGTGAAGTTACATTATTTAATTGTGCATGTATTAACTCAGTAAAGTAAATAAATACGCAAAAATAATAGTGTCTCTATGTGCGGGCTTTTCTGGATCAGTGAGTATGTTTCAAAACTGTTATGTGTGATAAAGTAGTGCCCTTCCTGAAGGGAAGTTACAGAAAAAGAGATATTACAAAATTGGTTGTTGGCTCATTGGCTGAAGGTCAGTTAAAGAAAAAAACATTAGCACTGTAGAGTAAATACAGCAGCAACAACAAGTGACTAAGGACACATCAAATGGTAAGACACTTCATATGTCAGTGTAAGTGTTGTGATTAATGATTTTGCACTTTTTCTCCTACATGCAGCTGGACACAATTCTCTCTGTTTTTATTTCAGATGTTTTAAGAATTGATGGTCTGTAACCTAAACTAGCCTCTCATGATGCTGATTGCTGCACTCCTTGTTTTTGCCCTAGGTAGGTCTGCTCTTTCAGTTAACTTTTTTTTTCAGCTTTGCCAGTGCAGTTCTGTCTTATTGATCATTTCTCTGACTTCAGACCTGAGCAGCAGAGGAGGAGCACAGGCATGGTCCTACAACATCAGTTCAAACCGCAGATGGCTTGAGGCCCGTCAGTGGTGCCAGCAGCACTTCACAGATATGGTGTCCATCAGGAACCAGGAGGAAAATGACTTCCTCAACAAACGGCTACTATTTACGAAAAACTATTACTGGATAGGCATTAAAAAAGAGGAGGGAGAGTGGATTTGGGCTCCAAGCAAAAACAAGGTACCCCAAGAAGCTCAGAATTGGGCACAAAATGAGCCAGATAACATTGCAGCTAACAGCTGTGTGGAGATATACATTAAGAGGGATACAGACCCAGGGAAGTGGAACAATGAGCCCTGTCACAGGAAGAAGGGAACCCTCTGCTACGCGGGTAAAACACCCTTTATTTTTTATGTACAACTATTTAACAGACTTCTGTAGACTTATCATAGAATTTTTCTGTATGCATGCAGAGTCTTGCACAAAGGATTCCTGCAATGCCCATGCAGACTGTGTTGAGACTATTGGGAACTACACCTGTAAGTGCCATCCTGGTTTTACTGGATCAAGCTGTCAAGAGGGTAAGAAAAGGTGTCAGAATGTATTCAAAACAGCCATGACCTCTTTTTGTGAAGATCTAAACATGTCTTTGTCTACTTTTTTTGTTTCAGCAATTGCATGCGAGCCCTTGCTGGACCCAGAGCATGGTTCTCATTCGTATATCAATCCCTATGGGTTTAGTCGTTTCAACTCTTCCTGCCATTTCCAATGTGAACTCGGCTTCCAGTTGATAGGAGTTTCCCGATTGCTTTGCCAAGCTAGTGGTCAATGGAACCACCCTGTTCCTCTGTGTCGAGGTATAACTACTCAATGCCAACTGTATCAAATATAAATGTTATTTCGAATGCACAGGTTATGAGAAAAATATTTGTCCCTGTCTGTCTAAGTTAAAACGTGTCCAGATCTAGACCACGTGAACATCAGCTCAGGTAATATGAACTGCAGCCACCCCGTCGCACATTACAGCTACAACTCCACCTGTGAGGTCAGGTGTAATGAAGGCTATGAGCTCAGAGGACAGGACCAGATACGTTGTGACCATACTGGCAAATGGACAGGCAGTGTCCCAGCATGCACTGGTAAAGTGACTCATTACTTATTACTTATTACTCATTAAAAATGTATGTAAAGTCATATCCTGTCTAGACTGTAAAGCAGATTAGAGCAGGGTCACACGTTATCACTTCACTTAACACCCATTTATGCAAACATTGGGAAAACAACATTATAACTTAGAGTGGGTAGCCAGTTACTGTTTCCCATGACTGTAAATTATGCTCATGTTATGTTTATAAAAGGCAAGTCATAATACACTGACATGTTTCAGGACATTGACTTCCATTGAGTGGACTTTGTGTTTTATATTTGTTTCCCACCACAGTGAAAAAATGTTCCCCCATTCTGTTTCCTGTAACGGGCAACATGTCATGTGTGGACACTTTGGGGCCATTCTCTTTTGGCTCAAAGTGTAACTTCACCTGCCAGGAAGGCTACAACCTGACTGGAGACAACACACTCACCTGTCTGGCCTCAGGACAATGGAGCAATCCTACACCGACATGTCAAGGTTGGTCGCAGAGATAATGTCAGCTCTGTCTTAAAACAACACAAATTGTCTGTGCCTCAATTAGTGCACTGCTCTGATGACTAATCAGTTTTCTTCTCCTCCAGTGGTACAGTGCAACAGTCTGAAGGCTCCACCATATGCCTCCATGCAATGCCAAGACCCTTTAGCAGAATACATCTATGGCTCTATGTGCACTGTAAAATGTGTGCAAGGATTTGACATGGTTGGTGCAAACATGACAAAATGTTTATCACAGGGGAATTGGAGTCATGAAGTTCCTTTTTGCCAAGGTATGACAACAGCTGGCTAGATGCTGAAGTACTCAGAAGAAATGTAAATATATGTTGGTCCTTCAGCTCAGTCTCCCTTTCTATTATTTGATTTGTTTAATGTGTCTGTAAGCACCTATCCCTCTCAGTGTAACTTTAAGGGAAGACGTGTAATTTATTAAACTCTCCACCTAATGGCTCCCTTAATTATTCTGAGCCAATAATTACAACAATTTAATGGTTCAGGTAGTTTGACTGTTTGTTAGAATGTAAAGCTCTTAAATACACACTATTGGTGTCTCTTCCTCGTTGCTCACAATCTGTTGATAATATCAGTTGAAAATATCATTTGTAGAGTCCTTTGTCTTGACTGGGTTTCTTTATCATGAATGGCTCTTAAAAATTATTTCTTGTCTCTGTCTGTATCTCTCTTTAGCTAAGATGTGTCTCACTCGGAGCTCTCCCTCTCATGGCTCCTTACACTGCTCTGGTCCTCATGGAGAGTTCAGATTTGGCTCTCATTGTACAACGACTTGCGAGAAAGGATTTGTCCTGAATGGGATGGCAGAAAATGAGTGCAACTCTCTGGGCATGTGGAGCAGTACAATTCCCCGCTGTCTGGGTAAAATCTCATAATATCACAGAGCTGCACTTCCAAGAGGATTGTTTGGTCTTCAAATGATGTTTGTGCAATATCATCCACAGCACAACCATGCCCCCTTCTGGTCAAAGCTCCACAACACGGGAGGATGAATTGCAGCCATCCATACTTACCTTTCAGTTTTGGCTCCCTCTGTGACTTTGAATGTAATGAAGGCTTCAGGCTGAAAGGAAAACAATCTCTGACATGTAATACCTCAGGTCGCTGGTCTCAGGATCTCCCCACCTGCCAGCGTGAGTGCCCTGCATGAGTTCACATCTACAATTTCTTTTAATATTCCTTATTCATTGATTACAATTCCATTTTTCTTTCCTGATCTTCAGCTGTACAGTGTGGTACCATTCATGCCCTGTCTTTAATCCTCTCAATGAACTGCTCACATCCTCTGGGAGATTACAGCTTTGGCTCCCAGTGTAATTTCACATGCAAAGAGGGATTCTCTCTGAAGGGTACGGATGTGCTGTTTTGCTCCTCTGGCGGGTTATGGAATGACAATCTACCTCACTGCACAGGTAAATCGGTTCTCAAATGTTGACTATGGAGCTATTATTGTGGCAAAACTATTTGAATTTGCGTGCACAGATCCACAAAAGTGTAAAAAGATCCACAAATGCGTAAACTAATCTGGATCAGGTCAACAAACCCCACTACTGTGTTCACAGATTGTCAGACACACATTTGCAGAGATGTGTATCTAATGTATCATACATTTGTGGATCTTGCACGGCAGGAGTGTTGAAAAAGTCACGTGTAAAATGAGAGCCAATGGAGAGGCCCGCCTCAGTTGTAAGCGATCGTTTGTGTGTATTTTCAGGATTTACAGCTGAAAAAGTTCACTGCCATTACTAAATAAGTAAATATTTCGAAATTGGTCTACATATTTGCAGATTAGATTACGCATTTGTGGATCTATTTACGCTTTTGTGGATCTGTGAACGCATATTCAAATAGTTTTGCCACAATAATAGCTCCATAGTTGACAATAACAATGATATATTGCTTACCGTATTCATATGGTTGATATAGTATGTTAGCATGATTGCATTTGGTATTGAGAGAAAAATACAAACGCCATTTGAGTTTGATAGGTCATTTTCTAACTGATGGTGGCGCTAGAGTGGAAGGCAAGTACTCACTAAAGTGGTCAGAATTCATTGTGAGGTGGCTCTTATTGCAAATTCCATGGCAAACAATACAAACATTTCTAGACATTCTTCTTAAAAACATGAAATGTACGCTTCTAGGCAGCAAATACATAGAACACAAATGCAGATCACTGATGTCATTCAGTCCACTTGGTATGAATGTCAGTACAAAACTGTATGGTCATTTGTTCTGAACTTCTTGAAATAGATAAAGTTGAAGTCCAGACCTTTAGCATGATTCTAAGGATTGCAAATAAATAACAAACTATGATATATGAAGCATATAAAACTTGCATTTCCTGTAACCTTTATGTGTTTCAGTGGTTGGTATGCCATTGGGGACTGCCCTGCTGACGTACACGGGTGTGGGAGCAGCCTCTGTTGCCGTTCCTCTTCTCCTGATAGGCCTGGCTTTCTTGATTATTAAGCGGTTTAAGAAAAGAGGTAAGAGGTACTGCAGTTGTCCCGTGCAGTTTCACACTATCACAGACAGCATATTGTACTATTCATATATTCATTCTTATTTCTGAATTTTGCAGGAGATGCAATCGTATCTGATTCACCAGCATGGGGAGACAGAGAGAATCCAGCATTTGAATTTTGATTCTTTTTTTATTATCCTTTATTGAGACTTTATTTTTGATGGAATTTATTTTAAGCAACTGCAGAGCGTATAATTACCTGCTTCTTATTGCATATATCTAATAATACAAGGATTGCAGTAGGATTAAGGGCATAAAAAAATAACTAATCACAGAAGCCTTATACTTTACATAATTATCCACATTGTCTATGCAAACCTTTACTCTTTGTTTATAAATAACCCAATCAAGATACACAATTTGTCCATAATATATTTTTCTAAAAAGATGCAGATTTGTGTGCAGCTTTAGCTTTTGCTCTTTGTTGATGAGATAATTGTCAATAAAGTATCCACATTTCTTGAATCGTCTCATTAAACTTCTTTTGTTTCTCTGGCTGACTCAGCCAAACAATACTCCACAACGATACCAATGTTGGAATTCTCTTTAAAGTTATCCAGTGTCATTATGGGTGTGGTGAACCTTTCTTGTTGGTGCAGCAGAGTTTACTTACATTTGGCCTCCGTCACATGCACTAACAGTGGGGTCAATTGGGGAAGTGGCAAAACAATCTCTGAGATTACCGAACTCCCACAAAGTGTCCAGTTCAGCACATTTAGTGTCCTGTCACTGAGTGTTGAAGAGGTGATCTATTATCAGTGTCAGCTTAATGTGTCAGACTGGGCACGAGTCCCACATCGAGTCACTATACCCCCACCATAGCTAGAGTATATTGTACTAAATGTGATGTACTGGCACTTAAATGGATAAGCAATATGACTAAAACTTGGGAAAATTAACATTTAAAGCCTACCTATTTTAATTGAAAACGTATCTGCATAAAATGTGTGAAGTTTCAAATGTGTACATCATTTCTGTTCTGTGCATCTTTACCAAAAGAAAACCTACAGACTTAAAATATGCTGCAAAAGGCTAATGGAGTATCTTCAGCAAAGCGTGTGCATCTGTCTTGGCGCTGCAACAGCATGAAGCCAATTATAGCGGTTAAAAGACAGAGGGTTTGTGGCCTGTGGTTGGCACTAAGGGTGCAATAAATAACCAAACTGTTGACAGGGAACTGTTTGGCTACCATCAGAATAATAATGAGGTTATTGCTACCCGCTGTGACCGTATGATCACGCTTTGATAATTTTTTTCATGCCACCCACTGCTGATGGCAGCCATGTATGCATGCCAAGTGTGCACAGACTCGCACACAAGAGGGGGAAAGACCCCGCAGGTGACCACCTTGGCTTCTTTCCTAATATTTAAGTCTGGCTTTTCTTCCCAAAAGATACAAGGAAATACATTGCGATACTTCAGTGGTCACAACAAAGAGTGACTTTCCTCCTAATACGTACACACTAGCAGACACTTAGTTGATACAGACACAAAAAAGCAGACTAAAAGAAGCACACTCTGTATACTCTGCTGCACACTTCTTGAGCTCTGGTTGGCAGTGGCATACCTCGGTGACAGACAGTTAGATTGTTCCTGACCATTGACTTGCGCTCTCTGCTCTGTAAGGTCTGATTTCATAGTGGGAAAGATGAGACGGGTCCAGGAGAGGGTTCACGGCTGGGGCAAGGAGGCACTGCATACAGTGGGGCTTCATATCTCTGTGTCACCCTGGGCATTCTCCCCTGACACAGCTTTCAGCCCCTCCGTTGTCTCGAGGGTTTTCTCAACCTCCCTCCCCAGGATCGGTGCATTCCAGCTGGGCACAGAGCCTGGGTGGTCTCCCCCTCGCCCCTCCTGTGTGCTACGACTGGAGGAAGGAAAAGGCAGAAAAATGTAGCAAGGGCCTTTGACCATGAGGAGCACAATGTGAGCGTTGATGATGTCGGTGCGGTTGTGATGCTTACCTGCCACTGACCCATACAGCTGTCACAGCCAGCCGTTTTACAATCTGATGATCCACCCAACAGCCAGGGGGAAGATGCCTGGCTGACCTGTCACCTAGATCGGACCGATAAGCACCGAGGATGGACTGACCCGGCTTTAACCCTTAGCATGAACACGCCATCCTCAGCTTGTTCTTTATATTTACTCAATACTAAATACTCGCTGCATCATAACCATTATTTATTGATCACTGATGATTCATTCAAGATTATTAGCATACACACATTGCAGGAATAAATACAAATACACACCCAAAGAGCTATTTACATTAGTAGATGCAGATATAATCTCATGACTAACATTCAAACATAATGAGAGATGTCAGAGGTATCGTGCGTACACAGTCT